ACAATAATTAAATTAATGATTAAATCTTTTCTTTTTTTTGGCTTTATTATGATTTATTGATCAATTTCTTTACAAATAGGCATTTTCAATTATACAGAATTCATAATGATATGAAGCATTAGATTTTTAATACACGGTAAAAATTCTATGATCAATTAGTCAAGACAACATATGTTTTTAGTTCATTATAATTAAGTTAATCATGTCCTAACTTAATTTTTTAAGTTACACACGCTGTTTTAAGTCAGTTCAATTTAATATAAGTTTAATGGACTCACAATATTATTTGATTCAGCTAAAAAAATTTAAGGCAACCAGGATTTTTTTTATTGTGTAGCTACACAGCCCAGTCCTACAAAGAAATCGCATTATTTTCAACAAAAAAGCTAACTTGTTCTGTTTTAAAGCATTCCCAATGACACAGTGATTTGGATCATATCAACGTACAAGCAATAAAACTAAATAGTGCAGTCAGAGTACATAAGTAAATACATAAATGAACATTTTACTAATGTTTCTTTGCTGTACACAGCATAAAAACAGCAGCGTTTCTCTATGAAAACTAAACAGATGTGTAAACAGATTAGTATAAAAGAAATGACCTACCAGAGGCTCAGGAAGAATAAACCCATATTCTTCAGAGATGTGAAACTTTCTAAGAGACACTACTGTCCTTGTAGCTTTCACTTCGGTACCCATAATGTTCACTTTAATACTAGTGACAGACTCTCTGGTTAGCAGGTGCTACTGTTAGCGCTCTATAGTCGAATGAACCTTGCTGATCGGGTGGCAAATCTCTCTCTCTCTCTCTATCTGTCTGTCTGTTTTTATTTTACCGTTGACTATGACCTTTCCTCACTTCCCTTATCTGAAAGCATATGAGAACATGTGAATAAAACCACTTAAACAAGAGGCAGAACCTGCAATACAAGGGAATTTCTGTCTTCTAATCAAAAGGTGCTTTCATAAGCTAAATGAATATTTAAGTGTGTTTTGGCATGCAATTATCTGTTCTCAAAGGTAACACGTTGAGCAATAACAATCCTGAAATACATTCCTGACAAAAAATCCTTAATAATTAAAAAAATATCCTTAATAATAATAAAACTGAACAGACACCGTTTCAATTCACTATAACCTTCTATGTGAAGCTGCTTTGACACATACATTGTAAAAGCGCTATAGAAATAAAGATGAATTGAATGGAATATTTGAATGCACTGTACCGAACATGCCTTCATTTTCTGAGAGGACTCAAATTAACTTTTCTAGTCATCTCAACTTACATCAATCAAATACCCCACATTAAACTATGTATAACCTAAAATAAATGGTTGAAACCTGATTACATACAGATATTTGTTGCCTTGACTTCTTTGTGTCTGCTCGTTTTTTTTACAGTGTGCCTCTTTCAACAGGTTGTCTGCTCATTTATTTATTTGTTTTATTTTTTCCTCCTTTACATGGCAGCAGGAAGCCTAACTCTCGATGGCATGCTTTGTCTTCCTGTCAGTCTTGTTCATCTGGTCTTGTTGGTTCCTTTTTGATGTTGTGCGTCTGCTAGTTTTGCCAGTGGAATCTTGATTACCTGGTTGGTGCTTTTCCTGGTATGAATTCTGGCTCATCCGTAGATTCGTCTGTGTACTTGTTTGACCTCTGGCTGTCGTTGACCTTCATTCTAAAAGTCTCTCTGGCTTTTACCTTTGCCTGACTTTACAATGCCCTTTTCTTCTTCACAGCCAGCTGGAGTTTGGTTTGGTGGTCTGGTGCTTGTTTATGTTTACTGATTGTCAAGTTTCTGTTCTCCTTCCCACTTACATGTCTTTGTTAACATTCAATCCATGCTCGTTTTGATTACGTACCCCTATATACACTTCTCGAGAGTGTTGAATACGCCCAGGAGCTATGGTTTTTTCTTTTGTGCAGTTTTCGTACTGTAAATCCGCCAGAGGTCGCATTGTATGCTTTTTGAGATTGCTAATTTCTCTCGCAAGTCGCCTGATCTTCTCGTGTAAATCCACTAGAGGCCTCTGTTGACTGACTGACTGACTGACTGAACGATCGACTGACCCACCCTCCTCCTTCCCTAAACCCAACCAATAGGGTTTTAAAAAGCACCAATTGACAGCGCCCAGCCACTTCCCTAAACCCAACCAACAGTGTTTTAAAAGCAATCCAGAAAGAGAAAATCCCTCGTCTGATTTTAACCACATTTTCAAATTTTATCACATTTTCACCCTGTTATTTACTTGTTTATTTTATTTCTTTTTTTAGCTTTTGTTTTTGTCTTACCTGCTTTCTGGAACTGTTCTTCGCCGGACTTAAACCCTGTCATTGTGATCAACCCCTCTCTGCATCTCAAGTCCGCCGACGTACACGGCGAGCTACAGGACAAACTGCTAACATAAGAAAAGCTGTCCACATGAAGGTAAGCAGTCAGATGGTAAGCACTAAAAGGATAGGTGTCATACTGCCTCGTAGTTTTCGTTTTAAAGGCGAAATGCTGCCATACGTACTTCTGGCTATGTAACAGAGGCCAGCTAGTGCAGTGCTGTGCAGGTAAACCTCACTCCTCTGACTTCTAAAGGTGCTCTAGCAACAGAGGCCATGGTTTTTAGAGCATCCGACTCCCATGCGGAAGGTCGCCGGATCAATCCCAGCTCGAGGCGCGATGGGTGATGTAGGACCGGCAGGGTTACAGCTACATAATTCGTAATCTCCAGAAATGTACATAGGTAGGGGTACCTTTTCAGAATTAGCCTATGTTGTTAACATCAGTCAATGTTATTTAAGTTAAATAATTCATAATAATTCATGGTGCATTAACTAATGTTAAGAAGCACAACTTTGGATTTTATTAATGCATTAGTTCATGTTGAACTGTGGTTAATAAAAGCTTTACAAGATTATTTTTGGGGGCAGCACGGTGGCGCAGTGGATAGCACAATCGCCTCACAGCTAGAAGGTTGCTGGTTTAAGCCCCGGCTGGGTCAGTTGACATTTCTGTGTGGAGTTTGCTGGTTTCCCCAACAAGTCCAAAAATATGTGGTATAGGAGAATTGGGTAGGCTAAATTATCCGTGGTGTATGTGGGGGAGTATGTATGGATGTTTCCCAGTGAAGGGTTGCTGCTGGAAGGGCATTTGCTGCGTGAAACATACGTTAGATGAGTTGGCAGTTCGTTCCGCTGTGGCGAGCCCAGATTCATAAACGGTCAAAGCTGAAGATAAAATGAATGAGTAAATGACGGTTTTTCATACTTATTGATAATGTTAGTAAATACATTGACTAATAGCCCATTATTCCAAAGTGTTATTGCTCAAATTTTTTTCCAGTTGGGACTAACAAGGAACATAGAAAAAAAAACTGTCTGATTAACAAACAGGAACTAAATGTGTATAATCAAAGGATTCACTCACTCAATCAGGAAACATTCAAATAATGAAATGGCAGTCCAGAGTCCTGATATAAACCTGGATGAACATTTTGTGGTGATTATGTAGAGAATTTTAATGATCAATCAGTACAACTTTGCAGCTAGAACTAATGGACTGATGGGTCAGATGGGAAAGAGCTTCAGTGGTTCCTTCCCAGCATTCATCACCCAATCTGTAAGCAATTTTCATGCAGGACCGTCAACTCCAAGTACATCAAATCAGATAAATCAGCATCTTGAAGCTGAGAACATTCAAATAATGAAATGGCAGCCCAGAGTCCTGATATAAACCTGAATAAACATCTCTGGAAATTCCTTGGTTATGTTAAAAATAATAAACGGTGGAAGAGACTGAAGAAGAGATGATCAAGGTCACAACAGGCAAAGAGTTTCGTTCTTCTGTGAAAAAACAAAATAGGTTATTTTGAGGAATGCTGGTTGAGGGTACTTTCATATCATTTTCCTATTATGAAAGGCCATTTTTTCAAAATAGAAACAGAAACCGAAGAAAGAAACACATAAAGGTTTAAAACTTATTTTTGTTTTTCGTGTGAACTGTCGTTTTAAATTCGAATTCAGCTTTTTGTTGTCATCCTTTATTTTCTTTCATAGTACAGAAATTAAAACATTTAAACAACAGTACAAAATGAGATAGAAATAGTAAGAAAACAGAAAACAATACGGTAACTTACAGTGGTAGCACACAGGGGTATATTCACACACACACAGCCTATATGTATTATAATTCCTATGATTGAACTGCAATTCATAGCGACCTGGTGTATCAGCTTTTACGCACTTTACAAAACCCTGTTATCTTTTTAATATTTATTTTTGCCAACATTTAGATTAATAATAGGCAATTGAAATATCACAAATATATATTTTTAAAACATTTGCAAGCATATGTGCAACAGGATTTGTAGCCTGCACTACAATTAAAAGCATGTGAAGCATGTGAAGCAATAGGTCTGCGCGCGCAGAATTCCACAGATTTCCGCAGATTTTCCGCAGGATTCCGCAGATTTTCAGCCCATCATTACTTCTGTTTATTTACTTGAGTAAATGTGTAAATCTGAATTTATTCAGTTTTTATTCAGTAATTTATTACTTTTTATTTAATATATTAAGGTATTAGTTATGATACTCCACTGGATATCCCAAAAATAATTCCGCAGAAATCTGCAAATTTTTACCAAAATTCCCGCAGAAATAGCAAAAAACGTCCGCAGATTCCGTCTGGTCCTAGCAATAGGACATAAATCAGGGTACTGGCTTATTATAAAAAGACCTTGCATGGCACAAAATAGGTCATAAAATATGTAAATGTCCAGAGCACAGATTAACCTTTGCAATGATACACATTACGTGTAATAATAATTAAAGAATCATATGCTATATTCATTGTGGAAGAAACGTGGTAAAAAAAAAATGAATTAAATAAAAAAATTAATAAATCCAATATATTTTCAGAGTGTGTTGTTATTTTGTTATTCAGTGAATGGGCAGTACTCCTGAGTGTGTGTGTCTGTGTGCAGTGAATGGGCAGTGCTTGGTTGCTGTGCCTGTATTGTAGAGCTGCTACGGTAAACTGAGGCAGCATCAGTCTGTCCGGCGCCGCTGCCTGACAGCCAGCGTTACATCCGATGGCGAACCACATACACATTTCTCACGTAAAAGGGTTGGTTGGCGGCAGCGATACTAAGCCGTATCTTCTTGATCCGAAAATGAAGTTTAGTCCCAGTTTACCTCAGCCTCCAGCCACATCCGATGCATTTGTTCTGTCGCTTCCCCAAATCGGCCGAGCCGATGCAGCACTTCCCTGTGATGCGGTAAGAGCAGCCGCAGCCTGTGCGTGTGTATGTGTGTGTGTGTGTGGCTCTATTTACTTACTGCTTTACTGCTTCATGAAGATATAAAGTCGCTGTTATTTATAAAGACGACATGTAGAGTGTTATTTTCTCAAGGAGACATCTGCAGTTACGTAATAGCCAGTAGTAAGGCTGAGGCAGTGAATGAGCAGACTTTATTTCATTCAGAAAATGCAGATACAGCCACACCACAGTTTACCAAATCGATTTTATCCTCTTAGTCATAGATATCAAATAAATTCCGATTTAATGGCTGTTTAAATTGGTGGTTCATCCCTCAGACTAGTGATTGTAAACGGGAATAGCTTCTTCATCGTTCGAGTGTTCAAAAACAAATTATGTAATTTGTGTTAGTGGTTTCAGGTAGCCAGTTTGTCCACCACACACTCATGTTTTCTTAAAATCATTTCGATTATAAGGTGAAATATAGGATATTATAATTTGTATAGACTTTATTAATTAATCACACTAATTTTCTGATATTTCCATATTTTTATTTATCCCAACGTTACCTATTTTTTACTTTAGCTTATTATATTCTAATGGAATATGTTATGACTAAAAATGAGGATAAATGTATAAGTATAGGCGTGGAAGTTAGACATTATACAATTATTACCTTTAAATCATTCAAGTAGGGCTCAAATCATTAGGACATAGGCTATGTTTGCTAGATGGCGTAACGTTTTTAGTTTTGAGTGCGATGGGCTTTGGGACACTGACGGTTTTCGAACGGAGCTTAAAGGTGCTCATTCATGACATTTTGGTATAATCGGACATTTTACTCGGTCTTGTTGTTTACATTTCTCGTCAGTGCAGTGTTTTCAGAATATGAAATATTATAACTGCATTCGTATTGCTGTCCAGTAGCCTAGAGGAACAGTAGTCGGTCCCGTTTCCTTGGAAACCAAGACTGCTGCTTAGCCACCTCCATTTTCAAGACACGAGGTAAAAATACTCCAGTTATGTTTATTATATAACCTTATATTTTATGTGTTCGATTGAATAATCCTACATGTGTGTAGCCTATACAATAGTGGTTTAATTTATGCGAGAATTCTGCTTTGCATGTTCGCTGTGATGAAGCTGAAGCTAGCCTAGTGGATTTTTGATTAAATGCTCGTGACCGAATCAATATTTCAAGTCACGTGATTTCAGTGTAACTTGATGACTTTATCTGTTAACACTTAGTGTTGGATTAATAAATCCATAATGACTACATATTGATTATATGCAGACTCATGACTAAAGCATAGTGATTATATGGCATGGCCATTATCGCGATCATTAATTATGGGCAGGCTGCATGGATTGATGCTGTATACTAAATAATACTGTAGAGACCTACACTGACCATTTGATTTTATGAGGAATAAAGTAGTTTGCAGTAATGTTTCTTGACTTAAAACTCTAAAATCAAAAAGCATAATTGTTTCATTTACAGAATTTAACTCTTTCAGTTAAACCAGTCAAATAATGTGCCAGTGGGCTAAATACAATATTTTTATTTTAAACCAAACAACAAGATTATTTTAGTTGTTAAATAAGATTTATTTTACCCATTAGCACGTTATAGCTTCTTTTAAAGGGCACATATGATCAAAATCATCATCAGTCATTTTGGGGTAATATAAACCCAATATTTTTTTAATTTCCTGACGTTAAAATAGGATCCAAATCCCTCCCGTTTTGATGCCAACCGCAACGTGATGTAGGAGTGCAGTTTACCCACCCACCAAATTGATTGACAGCCTTTCTATTAACATGTCTCCGTAGAAACACATATACTCATATCAACATGATTTTAAGTATTCCGTGTACTTATAATATTTTATGGAATATATATTAACATCTTAATTCAAATGCTAGAAAATCCATTTTGTATCTGTGACACAAATACAAAAATAAAATGTTACCGTTGCAGTGATTACAGCGAAATGTTTTCAGTTTATTTGTGAACTGTGTTCTTCTTTGCACTTACAAATCAATGAAACACATCTGCTACAGAGGTATATATCTGGGGGAAAAAATAACAATGGTCATATCTTACCCCATCTGTTCTTGTGTTTTTGTGATTCACCAGCTGATAACGCTTAGTTTTTATTATCATTATTATTCTCTGACGACATAGGCTTAAAATATTCAATTTAATTCAAATAAATTATTGACTTCTGCTTTCTTCGTTTATTTCAAAAACAGATTTATATATATATATATATATATATATATGTTTATATATATATATATATATATATGTTTATATATATATATATATATATATATATATATGTGTGTGTGTATATATATATATATATATATATATATATATATATATATATATATATATATATATATATATATATATATGTGTATTACTATTATTATTCTTTGACGACATGGGCTTAATCAAATATCCTATCACTTACAGGAAGTTACGATATAGTTTAAGAATTCTAACGCTCTCACGCATATACGCACACACACACATAAAAATATGATGTATTATTTCCCCCTAGCTACATTCAAATTTGTATTGAGCAATTCCAGCATTATGGATGTGACATTTTCAGTAAAAACTCAAAACAGATCAGAAAGTATTTGTTATGGGTTATGAGTTATGGGATCAGAAAAATATCAATCTGTAAACATTTTAACACTTTAAATGAGGAAAATAATCGTGTTAAGAATGTGACTGAAAATGTATAGGAGTTCACAGTTAACAACATACTTTGTAGCAATTCTGTGAATTAAACGACACAACCCAAAAGAAACAGTCAAAAGGATAAGAGCTGGCTCTCTGTAGAACAGAAATGATTGATTTTATTTTATTTTGGATCAATGAGGGAAAAGCTTGGTTATGGATGTGATACCTCTGTGTTATGGATGTGACAGATGTGAAGTTGCCACTAGTGTGACTTTGGTAAATCAAATATAATTGTTTGAAAACATTAACTGAGACATTTTTGTGTATTTTTAGGGTAGAAAAGAAACCTAAAAAGGGTTTTGCTATTTTGGTTGACATTTGCATGGAATTGCTATATTACTTTTTAACTTCATTGTATTACAAACATACACACATAAAAATATACATTTTTCTAGCTGCATTCAAACGTATTACAGTCTTTTTTTGTGGAAGATGAAACTTAAAATAACACTGCTATAACCCCCTCCAAATTCACTTTATGTGATGCTTTTTGAAGCACTTATGCTTATTTGAGTTCATGAAGGTGTATAATGCAGTTTTCCGGAAGTTGAAAATGGACGAAAAATGACTGCACAGTTGAATTGAAGGCCACTTAAGGGAGCAGGGGCTCTCAGTGCAGTCAAGTGAATGGGGCAATTAGTTTAAAGGCCACATTAGATGCCACTGGCGTCAGTACAGAAGAGCAGTGGATACAATAGAAGTGTAGTTCATTTTATTGATTTCACATGTTGCCAGTCTCTGATTGCTCAACATGCTGAATCAGGACTGTTTGGAGTGCCAGGTTTTTACAGAGATCACTTTCACACATTCCACTGAAGGAAGTTAAGATATGTGCCTGAGAATTTTCTCATGACAGCTGTGGCATCATTCATTCATTCATTCATTCATTCATTCATTCATTCATTCATTCTCTACCAATTTTCCGGGGCCGGGTCGTGGGGGCAGCAGTCTTGGGAGAGAACCCCAGACTTCCCTCTTCCCAGACACTTCCTTCAGGTCCTCCAGGGGGATCCTGAGGCGTTCCCAGGACAGCCAAGAGACATAGTCCCTCCATAGTCCTGGGTCTTCCCCGAGGCCTTCTCCCGGGGGAACATGCCTGGAACACCTCCCTAGGTAGGCGTCCAGGAGGCATTCGAAACAGATGCTCGAGCCAACTCAGCTGACTTCTCTCGATATTGGGAAGCATCGGCTTTACTCAGCTCCTCCCGGGTGACAGAGCTCCTCACCTTATTTATAAGGGTGCGCCCTGCCACCCTGCGAAGGAAACTCATTTTGGCTGCTTGTATTCAAGATCTTGTCCTTTCGGTCATGAACCAAAGCTCATGACCATAGTTGAGAGTAGGTTTGTAGATTGACCGGTAAATAGAGAGCTTTGCCTTTCGGCTCAGCTCCTTCTTTACCACAACGGACCAGTACATCGACCACATTACTGCTGCCACTGCACCAATTACTCACTAGTGAACATAAATCCAAGATACTTCAAGACCTCCACCTGGGGTAAGGACTTTCCTCCAACCTGGACATGGTAAACCACCTTTTTCCCGTGGAGCACCATGGCCATGGAGCACCATGGACTTGAGGTGCTGATTCTCATCCCAGCCATGTCACACTAGGCAGCAAACTAGCCCAGTGCCTGCTGAAGGACCATGTTCGATGAAGCCAACGGAACAACATCTTCTGCGAATAACAGATATGAAATCCTGTGGTCCCCAAACCGGACACCTTCCAGCCCAAGGCTGCACCTTGAAATTCTGTCCATAACAATTATGAACAGAATTGATGACAAAGAGCAGGCCTGCCGGAGTCCAACATAAGTGTGTGTGCATGTGTGTGTGAATGCAAGAGTTTATGGGAGTTTCCCTCAACTGGGTTGCAGCTGGAAGGGCATTAGCTGTGTAAAACCTATAGAATAGTTGGCGGTTGACTAAGCCGAAGGAAAACGAATCAATGAATGAACATGCTTGAGAAACAATGAATTGAGTCAGAATTTTGTCTCAATATATGGTATGCATAAAATATTGTGTCATTTCTTTAGAATGTGTTGTGCTCTGATATGTATACTGTTTATTAGTCTTAAAGTGTTACATTTTGTATTAAAGCTAAAATATCCTGTTTGGCTTTGATTTAAGTCGTTGTCGGGTTTAATTTCTGTTGTCTGTGCGGCGTTGAGATTTATATGTAGTGCATTTATCTCCACTTACATTAGTCAAACTGACTAAAAATATGAAGTTAAATGTATTCATTTATTAAAATATGTTAAAGTACATAAAACATTTGTTATTGAAATATCACTTTTTTACAGTGTATATTGCAGCCCAGACTCATTCTGATTTTGTAACTCAATACACATTTCTGGAGGGAGCAAAATACGTCCCAGGAGCTACGTTTTTTTGCAGTATTTGTTTTGTTTGCGAATTCACCAGAGGTCGCTGTGTACGCTTTTTCACATCTCAAATTGATCTCCCGAGCCATTCGCTGTCGACTGACTGTTTGACTGACTGACTGACTGACTGACTGACTAACCGACCAACCGATTCCCCCACCCTCCTCCTTCCCTAAACCCAACCGATAGTGTTGTCAAACCAAATCCAATAAAAGTAAAGCCCCTTGATTTTTACCATGCTATCAGATTTTGCCACATTTTTACCATGTTATTTACTTCTTTATTTTATTATTTAGCTTTTGTTTTACTTGCTTTCTGGATTGATTCCTCGCCAGACTCAAACCCTGTTGTCTCGGTCAACTCCGCTCTGCATCTCAAGTCCTCCGACATACATGTCGAGCTACCGGACAAACTGGTAACTGTCGAAAAGCGTCTATATGGAGGTAAGCAGCTAGCTGGTAAGCGAAAAAAGGAATGGCGTCATACCGCCTCATAACGCTTGCTTTATTGATGACATTCAGCCTTACGTACAGTAGCTTTGGCTACATAATTCGCGATCTCCAGAAATGTATACAGGGCTACTTTTTCAGAATGAGCCTATGTTGGTGTATTGAGTTGCTAGGTTGACTCATTTATTTGCATCAACTAAAGTTTTTTTTTTTTGTGTTTTTGTGTAAAAGGCACCGTTTTATGGATTCTGACATGGACTATGAGAGGCCAAATGTCGAGACTATCAAGTGTGTGGTGGTTGGGGACAATGCAGTTGGAAAGACGCGGTTAATCTGTGCCCGGGCCTGCAATGCAACTCTTACACAGTACCAACTACTTGCCACACATGTGCCCACAGTCTGGGCAATAGATCAGTACAGAGTCTGCCAGGAGGTGAGGAGTGTCTGATATCATTTTCTTGTTCATTCAGAGATCTTATATAAAAGAAAAGTTGATGAAAAGGCATGTGATGAATCAATAATCTGATTGAAAATGTGCTGGACGCAGTTTCTGGGGTAAATCTCCATGCATGTGATAGGTGTGTCTCTCCGGACAGGTTCTGGAAAGATCCAGGGATGTGGTGGATGATGTCAGTGTGTCTTTACGTCTCTGGGACACCTTTGGGGACCATCACAAGGACCGCAGATTTGCGTACGGCAGGTCAACATGGATTATTATTACTCTACTTCATGCTAGATCAAATATATTTGTCACACTTTATTTGAGGTTACAATTCTTGCTATTAACAGGTGAGTTTTAGCTTTAAAAACTCAGAATCTCATTAATAGTTATTGAGATAGGAGTTGGGTTTATGATTGGGGACGCAGAATAAGATCATGCAGAATATGGACTATAGATGCTATAGGTGGAGTGGAGAGATGGTGATACAGCCAATTTGGTGGATAGGGATGATTGGGAGGCCATGATGGGTAAGAGCCAATAGAGGGAATTCGGCTAGGAAACCCGGCTTCCACCCCTATTCTTTACAAGAAGTGCCATGGGATTTTAATGACCACAGAAAGTCAGGACCTCGGTGTAACGTCTCATCCGAAAGACGGCGCCCACTAACAGTACGGTGTCCTCTTCACTTAACTGGGGCATTAGAACTCACACAAACCACATGTTGAGCGCCCCCTGCTGGCCTCACTGACACCACTTCCAAAAGCAGGCTAGTTTTCCCATGTGGTCTCCCATCCAGGTACTCAGCCCTGCTTTGCTTCAGTGAGTAACCAGTCTTATTGCTGCTAATTAATAGTTATTGAGATAGTATTTAGGGTTAGAATTAATTAGGATGCAGAATAAGATCATGCAGAATATGCACTTATTGATTACTAATATACAGCCAATATTATGCTTATAGGCAAGCATAGATATATACATTAGATGTCGCCTACCCTATTGTTGTCTATTAGAAGGAATGCGTCAATAGAGCCGCCATTTTGAAACAGGGTAGCGCTCCTTTGAAATGAATGCAGGACCAAGGTACAGTGGAGGACTGTGGCCATCCAAAGCCAGATATATCCACATATACACATATATCTATGATCGGGAGTTTTCCTGGATGATAGTATGCAAATTTTTTTTTTTTCTAATTACGAAAATTATAATTTTACATCACTTTTCTATATTGATGGATCAGTGATCGCACTGGCATTCCTGACAAAAAGCTTGTGTTTGTGTGTACAGAAATGGACTATTCACCCTCCCTGTTAAATTTGATCTAATCATGTCCTGAAACACAGCTCCTCTCCTGCTTTCACTTCTCACACTGACGGAGGGAGCGATTCGTTTGTGAATGAATCTCTGTTATGAACGACTCATTCACTAGCCGACAATAATACAAGTTTCTGGCACCGAAGCATCTCGTTGTCATATTTCTTTGGCATAGTTTGCTGATTTTTTTCAACAAAACTAGCATAAGCCGAGTGTTTAGAGCTGGTGCTACTTTGCCTTATGGTGAATGCAGTAAGTGACTGTATTATCCTCAATAACGTTACCTGTTTAGCACAAAAGTTCAGAACATACAAAAACGTAAAAAACTTAATCTTACCTATGAAATGTTCTGCCTTTGTGCTTTGTTTTCTTTGTTTGCTCATTACTACACCCGTAGACAGCGCTGAAGTCCCGCCTCTTCACGTAATAACACTGTCTTGACTAGTGCGGTTGAATGACATTTGTCCTGGGAGCACTGTACCAATGTGGCGGCGCTATTGACGCATGCTCAGGGTCCCTATGTGATATCTAGTGTATGATAGGCAAGTAATAAGCTGCTCGTTAATAGTGAGAGTTGGTCCTTATACTAAAGTATTACAGATATATATTGATACCCCTTAAAAATTACTTAGAACATTGTTTATTATTCTTCAGTTTTAATGTTTTCTTTTCTCCTTATTGTTTCATGTCACAGATTTTGTAAATATGTAAATACTAGAATAATGCCTAGTTCAGACTGCGTGATTTTAGCCCAGATTTTGGCTCGCCGACAAGTTTTGAGATATCGCCGACAAATGCCTGAAATCACAGGCAAATCGCTGCTCGTGCACGTGAGTGACAATCACACAGTATGAACTATCAAAGACGCAATCTGAGAGAATCGCCGATGAGTCGCCGATGCCTGTGAGATATTTGGCGTGCTGAATATCTGGAGCTGTCGGCGATTCAAATCATGCTGTGTGAATTGAGTTTTGACTGAAAATAACATCAGCGACCGCCTACAGCCAATGAGAGAGCAGCTTTCACTTGTGTGCGTGTGTGTGTATACCTGCTGCAGGCCAGCGGGAGGCTGGGGGAGAAGTTAAAAGCGTTTTTTTTTTCGGTTTATTTGGACCAACGAAATGGAGGTAAAACTAGTGGAGGCTTGACAGGACTCAGGAGCAACCGTGTCTGTTTGACGTTTCATACAGAAAGAAATTAGTTTATTATCAACGTTGAGGAGAAATTGCTAATTCCCTTTAAACCCAGGTGAGCAAACATGTACATGTTCTACCCCATTAAAGGCTTCTTTCTCATTATGTAGTTAATAACAAAAAATATACTACATGTTTTTGGCTGTGAGATGTAGTTTGGCAGAAGTTGTCGGCGATTCTTTCTATAGTAAAGTCATGCAATGTGAAAGTCCCTGTCGCCGATCCATCTTGCAGTGTAAACAAAGCAGCGACGAAACACAAGCCCAGATAGTCATGCAGTGTGAAAACATCTGTGACACGACTACTTTGAAAATCATGCAGTCTGAACTCGGCATTAGCAGTAGAGTACCTCCAATAACCAGTATGGTATGCAAAATTCCCACAAATGTAAAGTTCTGCGGAGCTGTAAGCTTGTCCTTGTCCTGTTGATGTAAAAGTTGACTCAGCAATCAAATTTTTTCTTTATACATTACTGAGTTGTCTTTGTTTGTTAACAGGTCTGATGTGGTGGTGTTGTGTTTCTCCATTGCAAACCCAAACTCACTCCACCATGTAAGGACGATGTGGTATCCCGAGATCAAGCATTTCTGTCCCAGAGCTCCTGTTATCTTGGTGGGCTGCCAGCTTGACCTGCGCTACGCCGACTTGGAGGCAGTGAACAGAGCTCGCCGCCCACTGGCCAGGTAAAATACCATGGTAACTGCAACTTTAAGATGTATGTTGTAAATCAGTGGTGTCTAATTCTGCTTTCAGAGCTAGACTTCTGCAGAGTATAGCTTAAACACATCTGTCTGACAAATTTGGCCAAGTCCCATCTTGAACCCTTGAGGTCTTGCTTGAGTCCACACTTTCGTAATCTACAGTAATGCCACTTTTACTACAGGGCAGAAGCTTGCTGAAGTGTGCATTGAGAGTATATAGGGGCTGCAAAGGTGGTGGTCATGAGCATCAGTTCTGGTAGCTGAAATGATGAATGGGACTCTTTATACCAGGGGTCACCAAACTTGTTCCTGGAGGGCCGGTGTCCTGCAGATTTTAGCTCCAACCCTACTTAAACACCTGAACAAGCTAATCAAGGTCTTACTAGGTATACTTGAAACATCCAGGCAGGTGTGTTGAGGCAAGTTGGAGCTAAACCCTGCAGGGAAACCGGCCCTCCAGGACCAAAATTGGTGACCCCTGCTCTATACATATGGCGGCCATTATAAGTGTCCAGAACTGAAAGTAGACAATTTGGGATTGAGCTATTCATATGATCCTGAACACCTTTACTAGCTTTAGGTTGGTTTAACCAGGACTGCAGCCAGACAGGACTAGACAGCCTGGTTGTAAACTTTTGACCCAGGACTGTGCAATTATTCTGTGAATGTCGTGCGCATCTTCTCAAGGAAGCACAGTGTGATTTGTAGTAAATCTCCTCTGAAGGACAGAGGGCACTCTTGTGGAAACCCATGAAACTGTCCAAATATACATGAAGAAACCCAGAAAATCCCTCTGGATTGCTTAATAAACAGAAGCTTTAACTACTTTCTTTGATTCAGTATCACTAATAAACACATAACTGTGGAATCATCTCTCAGAATGATCCATTTCAAACACTCCATTATAGTTTAGAGGTGAGTTTGTGCTAAATCATGTTATTATATGTTGTAATTTCACATGTGACATGTACTACAGCAGTAGTTCATTGAGAAGTGACGAACTGAGAGGCATTATCGCAGAAAGCTTGTCTCGATGTTGACCGATTAAACCGAATTCGAGTTTAAACCATTTTTTAGCCTAGATTATCAGTGTACTATGAGTCTGTGTAGTAAACTCTGCTCCATCTAAAACGGGGATGTCCAAACTTAGTCCTGGAGGGATGGTCTATTTGAGAGATTCAACCCTGATCAAACACACCTAATTAAACAAACAAGCTAATCAAGCTCTTACCCCTACTGAAAAATCCTGCTCAAACAACCTAGGCTGGTTGGCTGGTTTAAGCTGTTTGACCAGGCTGGTTTTAAAGGGGTTTTGGCCATTTCCAGTCTGGTTTTCAGCCTATTCCAGCCTGATGACCAGCTATTCCAGATGACCAGCTAAAACCAGCTTGACCAGCTTGACCAGCATAGCCAGGCTGGGAGCCCAGTCAAAACCAGCTATGTCCAGCTTAAACCAGACTGGTCAAGTTGGTTTTAGCTGGATTAAGCTGGTTATTTTCCAGCCTGACCAGCTTAGACCAGGCTGGAAATTTGGGAAGTGCCCAAAACCCCTCTAAAACCAGGCTGGTCAACCAGCTAAAACCAGCCAACTAGCCTAGGCTGGTTTAAGCTGGATTTTTCAGCAGGGACTAGATATACTGGAAACCTCCTGGCAGGTGTGCTGATGGAAGTTGGAGCTAAATTCAGCAAAACACTGGCTCTCCCGGCCTGAGCTTGGACACCCCCTGATCTGAACTGGTTTTACTGTCAAAATGCGCATGAAAATGGCCTCGATTAAATCACCCTGCTCTGCTTTGACCCTGTCAATTCTGCAGTATAGCACCGAGCTGGGCAACTCTGACCCTTGAGATCCAATTTTTCTGCACTGTTTAACTCAAAGCCTGATTAAACTCATCTGCCTATAGCTTTCGGGTTGGCATGGTCAGACTGCTCTTTGGCCTCATTGACTTTCATTCATACGCATACGAATGTGCCAGAGCGGAAACGCAAGCTCATGAGAAAAGTTTTGCGTTTCGCTGCCTTACAAAGTTCAAGTTTGGTGAACTCTGAACTTTGGTAAATATTTTTCAGTAAATAATGACTTGCATTTCAGTTTCCTTATTCAACAATACTGATTGCATTTTAGTTGTATAGAATAATCTTGTACTATTTTATACTGTTTTATACTATCTTTCCAGCCAACATTTGCAACTTTTGGATCTAGTAGAACAGAGCTGGGAAAATTTCCTTAGTTTGAAATCCTTTAGTTTGAAGGTTAAGGGTACTCTCAGTAAATCTTGGGTTGCAAGAACAAAAACCAAAAAGGCTCAACTTTAAGGAATTTAGGGCTGCCTTTACATATTTCCCCTTAATGGTTTAAGTGCTCCCTTAACTATTGCTACAAAGTCCTTAGTAACAATTTCCCCTTAAAGTGCATCTATGGTGAAAAATCTACTTTTCAAGCTGTTTTGACAGACATGTGTGTAGGTATAGTGTATAGACCGTCATTTTGGGGTGATGTAAACACACACAGTCCTTTTTTTCAATTTAACACGGTGTACACGTGTACACGGTGGAGCTATTGGTCAGCGGCTCTGCGCTGCGTGGGTTTCTGTCGGGCTGCACGCAGTGAGCTTCGGGTTAGCTGGTCTGCGCTGCGTGGGTTTCTGTCGGCGCGAACGCGGCGGAGCTTAAGTTAATTCAGTGTGTGTGATTATTAGTCTTGGTTTACACGCTCGGCACTTTTACACCCAGACTATACAAAGACACAAATGATTTTGTACTCTCTGCTTGGTCTTTGTCCGAGTCCAACATGTAACTTACGACTGAATGCTCATCCTAGTATAAGCTTAGCTTCTTTCTCTCTCTCTCTGTCAGCCTGTCTGGTGTAAATACACAGTGTAGGAGCTCTTGGCTCCGCCCCCTTGTTACGTTGGGCGGGAAGCCGAAACTGCGAAGCAACACGCCCCTAAACAGCAAACTGTGTACACGCCCCCATCATGACACTTTTTAACACATTATACTAAAAACATCTGAACTGTGTGTTGAAATGAACCTTAACTGGCACACTCAAAAGAACCATAATATTAATATTAAATCATAAAAAAGGGGTAATCTATGTGCCCTTTAACAAATTTAAGGGTCCGAAATAGCTCCTTTAAAGGAGCAAATGGCAGTCAAAATGCAAGCATTCTCACCCAAATAAAAATGTTTTAGATTAAAGATTGCAGGATTGTAAAGTCTTAAATAGATAAATAATTTAATAAAATCATTTCACGAACAAACCTATATAGAGAGCATTTAGATAGTGTCGCACGTCTATGGAGGAATGCATCCAAATGACATTGCCGTTTCAGTTCAGCTTCAAAAGACTCTACATCAGGGGTGTCAAACTTAATTCCTGGAGGGCCGAAACCCTGCACAGTTTAGTTCCAACCCTGCTCCAACACACTTACCTGTAGGTTTCAAACAAGCCTGAAGGACTCAATTAGTTTGATCAGGTGTGTTTAATTAGGGTTGGAAATAAACTGTGAAGAGCTGCGGCCCTTTTGGAACTGAGCTTGACACCTGTGCTCTACATGATCCCAGCCCAGTTTTATAGTTCTTCCAAACATAATGTCCAGATCAACTCGATAAGGCAAGGGAAACGGCACAGATCGTGGTTTCTTACGATTTATGTAACTATAGCAACCGTGACACCCATTGCCATATGTTGCCACAAACTATTTTAAAATGCTTAGTAAAGGCACTTAGGCAAGTGGGAGAGTTGAGAAGTTTGTTGTGATGCTCTTAATGAAATCCCTTACCTCAGGGATTTTTCCCGCTTAGTTAAATTATTTAAAGAACTTAAAGAAGTTAAATTTCTTAAAGCACATTTATGGAACAGGCACTGGCCCTCCTTTCCTATGCGAAAATCTAAATGGTCTGCCTGTAGATTTCTAGCAAATTCTAAAGACCTTAAATAGTGGATGAAGAGATTTCCTCCAAAAATGTTTAAAGCACTTTGAGTTTCCAGAAATATAAGGAATTATTGTTATTATTAACTAGCTTGTTCACATATGTTTCAAGCCCATATTTTCGCTGCACAGTATGGCACATCTCCAATGGTGGAATATCCAAGGATGCTGGGAGTGACGATTCCCTCGGACTTATCAGAGCAAATCAATCTCGGACGCTTTACTAACAGTTTGACTCACTTGGAACATCCCCTGTGAAAATGATGGGATGATAATGGCATTTTCGATTTTCGTCCAAAAGAGAAAAATATCTGAAGAAAGGGTAATGCTGTGCCACATTGCCAGGCGTGCTGGTTTCACTCTCCCTCTAGCTGTCAACACCGCATACAGGATGCAGAAACTGCGCATTATTACTAACAATTCCAATTCACTACACAAAGGCCATTTTTTCCCTGCATTGACCAAATCGCAAGAGCAGTAGAGCATTCGCCACAATCAAAGTTCAAAGTAGCTTAACATTTTTGTCCAGTCCATCTGCTTATGCTTAAACTTTTTAAGTTATAAAAATGTATATTATTTATTAAAAGATTGTTTAAGATCTGCCAAGTGCATCCAGAAGTTTTGGTTTTGGTTTAGAGTTTTCATTTTGATGCATTCTTGCTCTTTTAAAAGGTAGACTGATGGCCAGAGTCACTCACTCTATGCACTAAAAACCTCTAGGCTTGTGTGTTGGACATTGTTGGAGTCTGCTAAAGGCGGTTTAGTATGCTATTAAAGAAAGTAAGTTGTACACTTAGAATAGCACAAGGATGTTAATCGATGATAAAATATAAATTTTAGTGCGCTAGTACCCTGACACAATGTTGTTTTCTGTTTCAGACCCATTAAATCCAATGAGATATTGGCACCAGAGAAAGGCCGTGAAGTGGCTAAAGAACTAGGCGTCCCTTATTACGAGACCAGCATAGTTGCTCAGTTCGGAGTTAAGGACGTTTTTGACAATGCCATCCGTGCAGCCCTCATCTCCCGCCGTCATCTGCAGTTCTGGAAGTCACATTTACGAAACGTTCAAAGGCCCCTCCTGCAAGCCCCATTCCTTCCTCCTAAACCCCCACCACCCATTATAACAGTTCCTGCTCCTCCAAGTAACATCGAAGAGCATCCAAGCCGCCTTTTGGAGGATCCTCTCTGTGCAGATGTGATCTTAGTCCTCCAGGAACGCCAGAGGATCTTCGCCCATCGTATTTACCTCGCCACATCTTCTTCCAAGTTCTACGATCTCTTTTTGACTGAACCTCGAGGCACTGACGAGACCGAACGTGAGCGCGAACGACCTAGAGGACCCCCACTTTCTGGCCGCGATTTGCTGATGCGCGCTGCTAGTTTTGACATTTGTGAAAGCAGTGACGATGGTGACAGAGCAAACTTGCGTGCATGTACTAGTGATGGAACTCTGAAAGGTGATGGTCGTGGTCGTCTACTTCCTGCCTTGAGTCGCGCTTTCATTAGCATCCAAGAAGAAATGGTGGATGACCCTGTGACTTTCAATCCGAGAAAAATGACTGTTGTGCACATGGACCCTTCAATGCAACCTGGTCCATTCCGATCAGTGCTGCGGTACCTGTACACAGGTAAACTGGACGAGCGGGAGAAGGAGCTAATGCAGGTGGCTCACATCGCGGAGCTGCTGGAAGTGTTTGACCTGCGCATGATGGTGGCTAACATTCTGAACGATGAGGCATTCATGAATCAGGAAATCACCAAGGCCTTTCATGTGAGAAGAACCAATCGGGTGAAAGAATGTCTGGCCAAAGGGACCTTCTCTGGTAAGAGGCATGTGAATTGTATGTTGAACTGATATTTACTATGCATAGTCTTGTACAGGGATCACCAAACTTGTTCCTGGAGGTCCGGTGTGCTGCAGATTTTAGCTCAAACCCTAAGCAAACACACCTGACAAGCTAATCAAGGTCTTACTAGGTATACTTGAAAAATCCAGGCAGGTGCGTTGAGGCAAGTTGAAGCTAAACCCTGCAGGGCACCGGACCTCCTGGAACGAGATTGGTGACCCCTGGTCTAGTAATACAAACAAGCAAATAGTGGGTTAATAAGTTGGACAAGTTAGGTTTTAAACATTGCTTCAAGGCCTTGAATCCATTTGCCTGAAATTTAAGTACTTACAAGTATTTTCAAGAAGCGTGAAAAACCCTGTAAATGTAATTTCGCTGAAATTGACCAAAAAGTCAAATCAAAAGAACAATTTCAACCAAATAGTAAATCAATTGCCCTTCCAACCAAGTACTGGGAAACACCCATACATACTCATTCATACACAAACACAAGCTTTGGCCAATTTAGTTTATTCAGTTCACCTTCACCGCATGTCTCTGGTCTGTGGGGGAAGAAACCCACACCAACGCGGGGAGAACATGCTAACGCCACACAAAAATGCCAACTGGCCCACCTGGGAATCAAACCAGCAACCTTCTTGCTGTGGGGCGACAGTGCTAACCACTTAGCCTTCGTGCCGCCTCACAAAAGCCTAATGCCGGGGTCACCAATCCTGCTCCTGGAGGGCCGGTGACCCTCCAGTGTTTTGCTCCAACTTGCCTCAACACACCTGCCTGGGTGTTTCAAGTATACCTAGTAAGACCTTGATTAGCTGGTTCAGGTGTGTTTGATAAGGGTTGGAGCTAAAATCTGCTGGACACCGGCCCTCCAGGAACAAGTTTGATGACCCCTGGCCTAATGGGACATTTAGATAACAGTAATCATAATGTTGGTCAATTTAACTAGCAAAATTATAATAAATAACCAAAGAACATTTCGTCAAGTCCTAAAAATCTGTAGACTTTTATATGGTGGCTATCATTGGCAGCTGATTTGTTTCTTACACTGACTGCACTGGCATTTAGACATAAGCCATGTTTCCACCCAAAGATGCGCATTAGATTTATGCTGGTATCTGGAATATTGCGTAAAACATTAGCAAATAAAGCAACATTTTCATCCAATGAGTCAAAGAGAACAAATTTGCCACTTTCCAATAAACTGGGGGCAAATATCAAAAAGAAAAAACGGAATTTGCTGAGGTAGGAGAAGCCACTGTGGGCCTTTTTTCTTATATAATAAATAACTTGCATCTTGGAAGACGAAGATGAAACTCAATGAACGCTCAATGTAGTTCTGAAGGTAATAATAATGACCCCTGTCATGACAGACTTCGGCAAACACATTTTAGAATTATCAAAACAACTTTTTATATATTTTGTTATATGGTCGGTCCACTGGTTTGTCCAATAATATCGTCCCTTTGCACTTATGTTTGTTATCTGTTCAACATAGGCTCATTTTGAAAACGTAGCCCTATATACTTTTCTGGAGATCGCAAATTATCCATTCAGATGTACATATGGCTGTATTTCATTTTTAAAGCGAACGCTATAATGGTATGCCGTTGTTCCTTTTCACACTTACCAGCTGATCGCTTACCTCCATATAAACAACTATCCCGCTGTTACCAGTTAGTCCAGTTAGCTCACCATTTACGTCAGCAGACTTAAGACACAGAGAGGAGTTGACCTTGACAACGGGGTTCGAGTCTTGTGAGGAACAGTTCCAGAAGGTGGGTAAGACAAAACAGAATCCAAAAAAATACAATAAACAAATAAATAACAGGGTGAGAATGTGGTAAAATCTGAAAGCATGGTAAAAATCTTTACTTTTTCTGGATTGCTTATTAAAATTGGCGGTTGGGTTTAGGAAAGTGGGTGGGCGCTGGTTAATCTGTGCGCTTGAAAATACTATTGGTTGGGTTTAGTAAAGGAGGAGGATGTGTCAGTCTATCGGTCAGTCGATCGGTCAGTTAGTCAGTCGACATAGGCCTCTGGTGGGTTTACGTGAGAACAGCAGGTGCGAATGTCACTCGTGAGAGAAATTTGAGATTCGGGAAAACAAAAACTGCAAAAAACGTAGCTCCTGGGATGTATTTGGCACTCTCCAGAAATATATATACAGGTACGTTTTCAGAATGAGCCTGGATTGGATCTGTTAAACGAAATCACGTGACTTTTTTGATGCATGCAGGATTTATTCGGTAAATGTAATTTATTATTATTGTTTATACACATCTTTTTCATATTGGATAAAAAGTTTATTCTACTCAGTTGTGTGGTTATGTTTGTTTATGCGCATTTTTACAATTGATAATATCCAAATATGCGCATAAAACAATTGTACGAATGGAAACATAGCTTTTGACTAGTTTTGTGGTCTCTTTGCCTTTTTTTGCAAATGTCATCAATATCACTACAAATACTGTCAGCTGTATATTAAAAAGCTACTTTTTCCCCTTTTGGTATCTACATACATCATGTGCGCAGTGTTCATTTTAGCAGAACATCACTTAGCATGACCAAAGCAAATTTTAATATGGCCTCAACCAGAATTTCCCTTCAAGCTACTTTCCCCGTTACTTCAGCTCAATTATTCACCCCCATAGAGAAAAACAAGCCCACCTATTTTGTCAGCTGGCTTTCGGTTTCATAATCAGTGCTGTTTTGGCTTTTCAACACTCTCAGGGTTTAAAGGGCTTCAAGCTGTCTTGTAATGCTGACCGAGCTTTTCCCTCTCCTAACATAAACACAAAGCATTTCTATTTATTTATACTCAAGTGAAGCACTGTAATTGAGCTTTAGTGGAACATAATATTAAGCCAGTCACAAAAAAATGAAAAATACAGTCTTATTTTTCATTCATTCATTCATTTTCTTGTCGGTTTAGTCCCTTTTATTAATCCAGGGTCGCCACAGCGGAATGAACCGCCAACTCATCCAGCAAGTTTTTATGCAGCGGATGCCCTTCCAGCCGCAACTCATCTCTGGGAAAAGTCTTGTTATTCAGATTAAACTATATCATCGTAGATATAGTGGTAGCTTTAGTTGTGTTTGTTTCAGAAACGTTTTCCTTTTGTTTTGCTAATACTACAGTAAATATAATACAGTAGGTTATCAATATATACAGTTGAAGCCAAAATTATTAGCCTTCTGTGAAATTGTGATTATTTAAAAAATATTTTCCAAGTGTTGTTTTGTAAATATAGAGAGATTTTTTTCAACGCATTTCTAAACATAATGGGCCCTATCATACACCCGGCGCAATAAGGCGCAAGACGTGTTTCTGTGACGTGTTGCTATTTTCAGACTATCGCAACACTAATTTTCTGTTTTCCACCACGCTGTTTAAGGGTGCTTTCACATCTGTAGTTCGCTTCATTTGGTCCTGTCCAAGCGCAATAAATGATACATTGTTGCATTTTCTGCCGTCTTTGGGTCGTTTTCACACCACACTGCTGGCTTTGGTCCGAACCAGTTGAAATGAACCAAAATACAGTCATTTGACAAAATCCACATCACTCATTGGCCAGATGTTGTTGAACATAGTTCCTAAACTGCTTATTGATTGGTTAGAATTCACAAGCGAGAAAATGCCGCAAGTAACTCCCGCAAGTAAACAAAACAGGCAGACACAAAATATCGTTTTTACCAGAAATATCGGCTTTACCAGTCTTCTATTCCTCTATTCATGACAATTTGCTTTTGTATAATGTTATTATTAGTTGTAGTGTGTTTATTATATGCATATTTATATTTGTTTTATTAAAAACAAGCTTAGATTTGTCCACCGGTCAGGTTGTAGGTCATATGGGGCATAGCATGTGTGTTTGGATATAACGCCGTTTTTTTGACCACACTTCGTTATTTTTGTTCATTTATTCGTTTGGTGGAAATTAAAACTGAATTTAGAAATAGTTTTGAAGCAAATCTTTGTGCTTAACAAACTAAGTAAAGTTTCTTTATAAACTAATTTCGAGAGGAGCACACGCTTATGATTGATAGCAGCTGATCCTCGTTAGCTAACGCCCAATCCACCAATCAGACGTTTCCTAAGTCACTATAAATAATCAAAGCATCTTACCTTAGCCATCTTCATTTTGAAGAATTCCCCCTTCCGCCCCTACTTATTTCCCTCTCCTTATCAGGGCACGGCGGAGGCCCATGCCTCACAGCGAGAATGTCTCTGGCTCAGACCTCACAAGCTCAGGGCTCTCTCCCGGGACAGCATGCCAAACACGCTTTATAATCAATCATCGCCAAGGGGGAACTCTTGAAACTAATTATGTCGGCTAATGGATGTCTGTGCGTACAACACGTTTCTTTATCCACGAAAGAGAATGAAAGTGAAAGTAAAGAATGAGGAGGCTCATTCTCTCCTCGCGCAACTGACTCTTTGGGGGAATGTGAGATGAGACTCTGATTGGTTTATTCTTAAAACACACCTATAACTCATTAAGAGAAAAAGCACAACCCTGTTAAACCATGCGCCGCAGCACAGAGCAAATTTTTTCATCCTTAAAATAGCAAAAGTGGATTCTGACACGTCCTTAATACTCTTGTGCCCCCTGCTCTTTGGACCTAGATTGTTTAAATGGAGCCCAATAGTTTTAAAGGTGCACTCTGCAAGTCTCACACCCAGTGGTTGAACTAGGTATTGCAAGCCTGGCCCAAAACACAGTTAAGCGCAGGTTGCCAGATTAACGAAAATTGATCTTAAAATTGTTTAAAAAGACATAAAAACTGCTTTAATTCCAGCCAAAGTAAAAGAAATAAGACTTATAATAGATTATTAATGGAAATACTGTAAAATGTTCCTTGGTCTCTTAAACGAGACTTCACAAAAGGACTAATCATTTTGACTTCAATTATATACTGGTTGATCAGAGAGTGTTTATATAATATGGATATCATGATTGCTAATAATGATTTGAAAAGCTACACAATAATGGCTTCTGTTGTGTGCTGCAGATGTGGTGTTCAAGTTAGATGATGGCACCATCATGGCCCATAAACCGCTTCTCATCTCAAGCTGTGATTGGATGGCAGCCATGTTCGGTGGACCGTTCGTGGAGAGCTGTACAAAAGAGGTACTGCACATTCAACTTTATACACAACACTTGATTCTGGTCTGTATTTTAAATAAAATGAGGCGTGCTTTAAAATACAGACTTTACATCTGAGTCCTCTTTTTATTTAAATCCTATTTATACCTGTGAATCAAATCGTTTTTAACTCTATTAAGCCTTCTGTTTCATACAAACAAAAATTTTTGCAAACTAATTACTTGGTGTTCTCTTGTCTGATTGACAGTTTTTCATTATAAAATGAAGGTCTTACACTATAACTGTACATAATTTAGTATAAAAATCCACCTTCTGCTCATATTTCACCTTTTTTTTGCTGTGAAATAATAAAAATAATAAATTTATGACAAAAAAACAACATTATGGTATAACTGTATGTAATTTAGTATAAAAATCCACATTCAGTCTCATATTTCACATATTTTTGGCTATGAAATCATAAAAAAATAATTAATATTATGGCAAAAAAAAAACTATTATGGTATAACTGTATATAATGTAGTGTAAAAATCAACCTTCTGCTCATATTTCACGTCTTTTTTTTTGCTGTGAAATCACAAAGATAATAAATATTATGACAAAAAACTAAACATTATAGTGTAGCTGTACATAATTTGGTATAAAAATCAAATAAAAATCTTCTTTGCTGTGAAATCATAAAAATAATAAATATTATCACAATAAAACAAAAGTAGTATGACTGTACATAATTTGTTATAAAAATCCTCCACCTTCAGCTCATATTTCTCATAGATAAATAATATCACTATATGTATTGTATATATATTGTATATATATTGTATATATATATATATATATATATATATATATATATATATATATATATATATATATATATATATATATATATATATATATATATATATATATATATATATATATATATATATATATATATATATATATATATATATATATATATATATATATATATATATATATATATATATATATATATATATATATATATATATATATATATATATATATATATATATATATATATATATATATATATATATATATATATATATATATATATATATATATATATATATATATATATATATATATATATATATATATATATATATATATATATATATATATATATATATATATATATATATATATATATATATATATATATATATATATATATATATATATATATATATATATATATATATATATATATATATATATATATATATATATATATATATATATATATATATATATATATATATATATATATATATATATATATATATATATATATATATATATATATATATATATATATATATATATATATATATATATATATATATATGTTAAAAACCACAAGACAGTTCTTTTAAATTGTAATACCTCATAATCCAATCTGTACTCATCAAACTTTTCAAAATAATAATAATAATAATAATAATTATAATAATAACAATTCCAAACTTTTGACTATAGTAAGTCCAGTTTCCAGCCCTGATTGAATGGAAAATGGACTCCGCAATGTGCATGATCTTAGCAATGAAAGGCAATAAATGATAACAACACATTCCCGTATCACAGAGACACTATCACATAATAACGTTGGAACATAACAACAAAAAACATCATAAACAATACAATATGAGTTTTTACACACTGTGCACCTGCTTGGCGTACAACACATATAATACAGAAATGCTTACAACACATTTAAAGTACAAACAGTGAGTAACAGCAACGCTTTTCTTGTGTACTTTACATTAAGGCATGGGGTTTCATCTCTGCAGCAACAGATTACACCAATTTTTGTAAATTACACAGTATTTAACTGTAATATGAACTCGATTTTACTTTAGGACAGTTATGCAGTATGTTACTGTATTTTAAAGTCGCATTGTGAAAATACTGTCAAGGTATATAATACTGAGAATGCAAATACAGCAAGACAGATGGTGCCGTAAATGTAAATAGGGTTTTTTTTTTTCTTGCTGTTATTGATTACAGTAAGTTACTGTCGGTTCTATTAACGGTGTAGAAATGTTCAGACCTGACTATTGGCGTATTTGTTTCATATTTTGCTCACAGAAAGTTTTTATAATCTCTTTTACGATATTGTTGGGTGATTAAAAACCGAAAAATCTCTAATCATGTGCGTTAGGTTTCTCTTAGGTGGCGCTAACATTAAATGCTTCTCACAATTTATATCTTCTTCCTTATTTCAGTACGTTTTGTGAGAGTAAATTTGTGAGAAGCATCGATATATTTAAACGCAGCGTTAATCATAAAGAGCAACAAATTCTGGATTTTTTTTAATGTGTTGAATGGTTAATTAAGGGCTTATTCACATTAAAGTACACATGAAATCAAACTAACCATATTAATTTTGTTAATTTTAGCATTTAGTTTTGCTGTCAACAATTCCTCTGTGCACGTCGTTAAGAATAAGCAATAATTTTCCCTTGTTATCTTTAATTGAAATCTAAAAATATGCACTTCCTGTTTGTTTTCAGTTAAATTGTCAGATTACATCTGTCTGAGGAATTGGGCGGGGCTAACATAATTAGCCACGCCCCTCCAGCTGTCAGTTTTGACAACAAACAGAAATGGTGAGCAGGAGGAGTCTGTTAGGTGTTAGTAACTCCACCCCCCCCTCCCCCACCCCAAACCCTTCTCCCCATCTTTCTGAATTAAATGCCTACTTTACTACATTCAATTAGCTCGCAGTAGAAAAAAACAAGCCACACCCACTGTTTTAGCATTTAAAATTCCGTTTTTCTATAAAAACTGAATCCAAGTACGGGAAAAAAAAGGGTCGCAGCTTCCGGTTCATGTGGACTTTAAATGATTTTGTTTGGAAGAGCAAATTTTTGTCTCTGTTTTGGCCTTTTGTTCACACTAAGACACCATTTTTAGAAATTGAAAACAAAAATTTTAAAATGCCGTTTTTGTGCTGCACTGTGAAAATGGAGGCTTTTCAAAAATGATGATGCATTTTAGTCATGTGATGCAGTCATGTGACCAATTCAGCTTACATGGTGGACGACATTGTAAAGAGATTTTTTGAATGCTGTCTATTTTGGCAGCTTTATTAAAGTTTAATTTCAGTTTGTACATGAATAAGATGATCAAAACAAACCCTGATTATTTGTTCACTTTAAGACTAGCAAAGTAAAACATTGTAAGTTTTGATTTCATGAGAACTTTAAGTATAAAACAAAATATTAATATAATGCGTATAATAGCCAAGTTCTCAAATACTTTTTACACCTCTGCTGTGTTCTTTACCCTTAATGATGACAAATCAGTATTTGTTTTTACTAAAACAATTTCAGTGAACCGAAAAGTTGTTGTGGAATTTTAATCCAGCATGATGATGCACTTACAACTAAAATGGAATATAAAGTAGTGGGCGGGGTTTTATTTTTGAGCTCCTCCTCTCATCTTTCACTTGCAGCAAACTAATAGTTGAATCTGCTCAGCGTATTTTCGCAAATGATCAGATTTTGATTAAAGATTACCAAAACAAACCCTGATTATTTCTTCACCTTAAGATAAGCAAAGTAAAATATCGTAAATTTTGATTTTATGAAGACTTTAAGTATAAAATAACATATAAATATAATGCGTATAAAAGCTAAGTACAATTACTTGAATTATTTTTACACCTCTGCTGTGTACTTTATGCTTAATGATGATAAATCAGTATTTGTTTTTACTAAAACTATTTCAGTGAACCGAAAAGTTGTTGTGGAATTTTATTCCAGCATGATGATGTACTTACAACTAAAATGGAATATTAAGTGGGGGGCGGGGTTTTATTTTTGAGCTCCTCCTCTCATCTTTCACTGGCAGCAAACTAACGATTGAATCTGCTCAGCGTATTTTCGCAAATGACCAAATTTTGATTAAAGATTACCAAAACAAGTACAGATTCTTTGTTCACCTTAAGACTAGCAAAGTAAAACATCGTAAGTTTTGAATTCATGAGGACTTAAAGTACAAAACAAAATATTAATATAATGCGTATAATAGCCAATTTCACAAATACTTTTTACACCTCTGCTGTGTAAATTATGCTTAATGATGACAAATCAGTATTTGTTTTTACTAAAACTATTTTGATGAACCGAAAAGTTGTTGTGGACTTTTATTCCAGAATGATGAAGTACTTTTAACTGAAACAGATAATTAAGTAGGGGGCGGGGTTTTATTTTTGAGCTCCTCCTTTCATCTTTCACTGGCAGCAAACTAACGATTGAATCTGCTCAGCGTATTTTCGCAAATGACCAGATTTTGATTAAAGATTACCAAAACAAACCCTGATTATTTCTTCATCTTAAGACTAGCAAAGTAAAACATCGTAAATTTTGATTTCATGAGGACTTTAAGAATAAAATAACGTCTTAATATAATGGTAAAGTACAATTACTCAAACACTTTTTACACCTCTGTTGTGTACTTAATGCTTAATTATGATGAATCGACAAAAAGTATGCACTGTATAATATGCAAGCAGTGCATTCTGATTGTCTGTGAATTATAAAAATGTACACTATTTTATAGCATGACTGGTTTGTATAAATGATCGATCCTTAATTTGTCCATTTCCAAATTTCGTTCAAAAACAGCAAGGCAAAACCCTTCACAAGTCCACACTTTATATTTATATGCTAATGATAGGAGTCAGCAAATGTTCCTGAGTGCTGTTATAAATGCTTGGTAAGATACTTAAAAGTCTTTACTCGATTAACAGTCCATCGTGTGTTTTATAATGGATGGATCTCAAGTCGCCATTGTTCTGGATCTACATTCGAAGTATTTATGGGGCTCTAAATGAAAACATTAACCCTTAACATTCCCTTGCACATGCAGGTCAGATATCGGATTCATTACAGCAGAAAAAAACAAAAACATTGTCTCATAATTATTCGCTTACAACTGGCGGAAAATGCATAGCAGATTATGTGTTTTTCTACTCTCTTTACACTCTTAAAAATAAAGGTGATGTCAGATTTGCTTCCTCTTCTAGGAAATTTGAATAATCACACCAACTTTGGATTATTTTGAAGAACTTTTTGTTTAACTAGAATATAAAAACGCCTTTATTTTTAAGACCGTATGGAGATACAGTATCCATTTATTTTTCATTGTAGATCAATCTGTTGCTAAAAAACTACTGTATTTCCCTATTGTAAGTCATTCTATGTTCAAGGTGCTATACGCTTCTATAACAATCGCATATGCTAGATCAGAAACATTCAAATTGCTGGGGATTATGTCTATGTGAGCCATGCTTTTGAGGTTTCGTCTCCTGTATTAGGAGTTAATGCACCTAAAATAGTAAAACTGCTTTCATTTGGAACTGCGTGTGTTTTTTTTCTGTCTTTTTTATGGTGCTTTTACACCTTGTACATTTCCTTTGGTCTGGACCAAGGTAAAAAAAATAGCATTATTTAGCCATTTTGGCTCTGTTTCCCATCAGGCCATCTGTTCTGAATCAAACCAGTTGAAATGAACCAAAACAGTTACATGACAACATCCACATCAGTCCTTAGCTAGTAGAACTTGATTTCACCAAGTAGGACATGTTCCTGGATTAACGTCTATGTTGATCCTGGAACGACTTTCTAAACAGCCAATCAGAATTAAGGGATATGTTTACAGTTTATGTTAAGTTTAGGCTTACGGTTTATGCACTTCATGATTGTTATCCAACTGTTATACGCTTCTGTTTTTGGGAATAATTTATGGTTGGGTTTAGGGGTAGGAGAAAGGTGTGGATTACTTTTTTCAGCAAAAACACATGTGCAAGACATGCGCATTTTGATTGGTCAGGTGCAGCTGAAAAAAGTCACCTCTTAGTGAAAAAAGCATGCTGAATTGTACCATTTTTAACCATAATTTTGACCAAAGGAAGCGTACTACAGTCGTGAGAGCACCCTTAGTATGCATCTTAATTATATAAATAACTGTTCTGTAGTTCTAACTACTTCTAGTTCTATTAATATTTTAAAGTGTCTCACAGAATCGGATGCTTAAATATAGCAGGTTTAGTATATATTCTACAACAACTACTTAAAGTGCCCGTATTTTGCTTTTTTTATGTAAGAACCTTTCATTCGGTGTGTAATGTAGCTGTTTGTGAATGTTTACAAAAGATAAAAATGCTGAGAAATTGAAATTTGTCCCAAAAAGAAAAAGAAAAAAAAAAAAGAAAAATCCAGTCTCACTCCCTCACAAACACCCTAGCAGGCACACAACACCATGAAACTTAGTTATAAGGTTAGATTTAGGTCGTGACTTCAGGTTACCAAATTTCAATGTCTAGCCAGCGTCTAATGCTGTGTTCACACCAGACCCGGCACACGCTAATACATCGTGCTATTCGTGTAGACGTGTAAACATTTTGAGTTTACTCGCTATATTTGCACATCAGATCCGCTTTATTTACACATCAATATCACCTCACAATAAATGTGGATTCGCGTCATGGCAGGGCTTCTGTCTGCCAGGTGACTCTAGCTTTAATGCTAAACGGCTAACATGGATTTTATTGAGAGAATAGCTGTGTTTATTTGCTTTATGAAGGCTGAAAAACAGCGTCGATATGTTTAGGACCGTGTCTGAGTCCACTACATCCATTCAGAGGTGCACCCAGCACCTGAACAGAACCTATACCTGGATGATGGAAGCTTTTAGCGGTGCTTCTGACTGAGCAGAGCCCAGTTTGATGGACTGTTGTCCGTGTTGGCAGTAGGATTTCGGGACACCAACAACAGGCGCTATGTCATAATCACACCCTCATCATGATTGCTTAACGCAGCGTGAATGTCTGCTGAAGATCAGATTTTCCAACTTTAGCGATTCGCTTGAGCGTTAAGCACATCAATCGTACAAAATGCCTAACTCGCGCTGCTTCTTTCGCGCTTAGTCCATCGCAGCATGTCTATTCATGTCTTTGCATTGATTGACTTAACATGCAAATTACTCAAGCTTGACGTTTCATCTGCGTCTATTGTGAATGCAGCATTAGGACAGCGCTGTTTTGACATCCAATCACAACATCAAATGATGAATTACTTTAGGTTGTGTTGAAAGGTCATCAAAATCCAACATCTTAAACCAACGTCATATTGACGTCAAATACTGACGTTTATTCGTCAGGTATGTCAACCAAAATTCAACACCTGATAGACATCATAGTGGTGACGTCAACACAACGTTAAGCTGTAACATCATTAGACGTTGATATTTGGTTGATTTTAGGTTGAATGTTGAACACTGACATCAGTTTGTTAAGTTCTGACGTTAACTAGATTTTCATTTCCAAACAAATTGCAACATCCCCACAACATTGGGTACAACGTCAATCTAATGTTCTGTGCCTGATAGGATACCTGCATGTACTGGAGGTTTGTAATGGATTTTCATAACGTTTATTAATTCAAAATTCCCTGCAAACGATGTGTGTTTTGATCCTCAAACGCTGTAGTTATGGCGGAGACTGGAAGAGTTTGCTTTGAATTGTTAACATGTACAGATAAGTCTGTTTTGGAAGCAAATCCACGTCGCAGTTCAAGATATTTTGATTAAGTGGATCATTTGTATGAACTCATACAATAACATTCGTACATTTCAGTATAATTTGCTCATCCCCCAATGATGGTTGGGTTTAGGGGTAAGGTTAAAGGGCATGCCTCCTTTCAAATATTGCATGTTTTTATACATACAACGTCATATGAATTTGTACGAACTACACACTTTTCGGCCAATTTGTAGAATAGTTACGTTTCCTCAGGACTTACAAAGGAATTGGTGCAAGAATTGGTACGCTAAAACCAATGCCATTGTTTACCTTCAAATCTTGGTTTACAAATGTTGAGGATGAGCAGAGATTCAGATTTGGTAGCAAGTATTTGGCCTTGGATAGACAATGCTGATTGGGAATCTAACCAAACAGAGCAGAGAAAGGCGGAGTTTAGAGAGAGCAGATCCAAAGAGCTTAGAATGACCAAGAGGCGACATTCAATAGAACGTTCCACTGCAACAGCAGCGCCCAGAAACAGCTCCGGATTTCCACCATTTTGGAGTGAAAGCGATCGGCCGTCCATTGGATCTTATTGCTGTCGCCATGGCAAGCAGCTGCTTTTTTTTTTTTTTTTGTTTATTTATTTAAAAATCGCATTAAAGCTGAGATACAACCTGAAAGACGACAATAAAACACTTACTATCACAATCATCAGCACTTTTAACAGTTTATTTTACAGTCTAATGATATACTGTTTTTCTAATAGTAATTTTCAGTCCAATATCCGCCATCTATTTTTAATACTTAATTTTATCTGCACTTTTGTTGTGTATCTTGTATTATTTCTCTTGTTGTTTCATTGCTCTTGTTGATTGTACGGTGTCCTTGAGTTGCTAAAAAGGCGCCTTTAAATAAAATGTATTATTATTATTATTATTATTTCCCAAACCACACTGGAGTGTCGCCTCTTGGCGATTCTATGCTCTTTCTCCAAAGTGACCCTTTCGGCTCTGTGAAAAAAAAAATGGTTCTGACCTTATACAGGTTTAAACCTATTGATAGAATCCTCCAAAAATGTTTGATTTCCTACTTTTTTAAGGTAAGTGGTTGCAAACATTCTATATGGGCTAAATTGAAACAAACTAATAATGTATTAATGTTCAATTTAATTTGTTTGTTTAAATTCAGCCCATATACATTGTTTGCAACCACTAACCTTAAAAAATGTAGTAAATACAATGAATTTTTTTTTTCCTTGTAATGCCGCAGTCACACTAAGAGTATGAAGATGCGAATATCGGTCAAACGATGCAAAAACAAAAAGACTGATAAAGATATCGATTAGTCCATATTTTAAGTTTCTGTACAGTGAGATCACGTTTTGAGCCTCTATTAGTTTCATGCGTTCACATGATGTGAATTCAAAGATCACTAAGCTTGAATCTAAAACACAGTTACTCGTGAAATTTTTGATCTGGCACATTTGCATGCATATGAATGAAAGTCAATGCGGCGAACAGTGCAGTGCGCCTTAAAAATCTTACAAATAGCAAAATATGGGCACTTTAAATGTAACTAGCTGTGATGGATCATGGCATTGTCACAGGCCTGCCTGTGAAACTCACCTAAAAGCTATAAGGGAAGATTTAAAATAGTGTATATGTGTGTGTGGATTGTTGTGATCCACCCTATGAAGCGCCTGTGAGCTAACTTTGGTAAAGACAGCAGCTGGTGCCCACACATTGAATATCAGCAGTGTTGAGGCACTCTTTATATTCCCTGTAGAGAAACCCAGTAGGTTCCTGTTATGAAGGATCTGGTTATGATATTACAGGTTGTTACTGTTTTCCAGGATATCGTCGTTATTGAGACAAAATGCAGCTTGATTGTAAACCTGAACTTCATTTGTGTGATCGTGCACAAATGTGTGACATGATGTCAGCAAATGCCGATTCAGCGTATAAACCATAATCATTTGATGTTGGTTTTGATTTCCGTTCTTGTCAGCTGATAACATATGAGGTTAGAAGGGTTACCGGGGAAAAACATATGAGGTTACTGGGAAGAAATACAGAAGAAAAAAGCTGAAGTAAAAGTACAGTGTACAAGGAAGGCGAATCTTAAAGGATTTGCTTCTAAATAAGATCAGGCCTTCTTAAATATCAAATAAACAGTCTAATTACGCATAAAATAGAGAATTGGGTTAAATGCGTGTTAAACAAAATACTGAGAGTTAAAATGTTGATTATCACAGAAAATACGTTTGTAATATTTTCACTAGACTGCATTTAGGTAATCAAATAATTACATTACAAAATAGTATTAGCATTTAAAATAGCCTTTTTATATATGAACACATTTTAAAATGCAATTTTTGGCATTATTACAGTCATCAACCAATTTTTAGATGTAAATTTATTATCATTTTAACAATAATGTTAAACTTAACAGCATTACAGTTATAAAAAAAACAATATATAATATAACCAATTTACTTTTGGTTCATTTAATGTTCATTTGTAATGTAATGTGTGTATTTATATAGCGCATTTATTGTGTATGCGCTTCACAATCTCTTTACACCACCACCAGTGTGCAGCATCTACTTGGATGATGCGATGGCAGCCACAGGACAATGTTGCCAGTGTGTTCACACACCACCTATAGGTGTAGTGGAGAGACTTTGGCCACAAAGAGTCAGGACCTCGGTTGAACGTCTCATCTGAAAGACGGTGCTCACTGACAGTGTAGTGTCCCCTTCACTATACTGGGGCATTAGGACTCAGACCACAGGTTGAGCACCCCCTGCAGACCTCACTAACACCACTTCCAACAGCAACCTACTGTAATTTTCCCATGTGGTCTCCCATCCAGGTACTGACCAGGCTCAGCACAGCTTAGCTTCAGTGTGCAACCATTCTTGTGCTGCAGGGTGATATGGCTGTGGAAGTTTGGTTAATTTAATGCATTTTTCGTCAATTAAAAACTTTATATAATAATAAAAAAAATCTTATTAAAGTTTTGCTTTGTTTTGAAGTTACTCTAATATTTGAGGCATTTTAAAAATTGGGATTATTCATCCAAAAATTTGTATTTTTAGGAACATACTTTTGTAGATAGATTAGCTTCAGGTCAAAATCATCAGCTAACTTACTGCAGGTCAAACATTGCAAATATCCCTACATGAAAATTGCAACATAGGCTCAATCTAAAAATGTTGCCCTATATACATTTCTGGAGATTGTGAATTATGTAGCCTGAAGTACGTATGGCTGCATTTCGTCTTTGAAATGAACACTACAGGGCGATTTGACGCTGTTCCTTTTCACGCTTACCAGCTAACCGCTTACCTACATGTGAACAGCTTTTCCGCTGTTACCAGTTCGTCCAGTGGCTCTCCACGTATGTCGGCGGACTTGAGTTGACTAAGATGATGGGGTTCGAGTCCAGCGAAGAACGGTTCCAGAAATAAGGTAAGAAAAAACAAAAGCCAAAAAGTAAAACAAGCGTAAATATACGTAAAGTAAATAACAGAGTGAGAATGTGGTAAAATCTGAAAATGTGGTAAAAACCAGGTGGCCACGAGGGCTTTTCTTTTTCTGGATTGCTTTTGAAAACACTGTCGGTTGGGTTTAGGAAAGAGGGTTTGGTCAGTCGGTGCGTTTTTAAAACATTGTCAGTTGAGGCTGGGCGGTATATCGAGTTCTGGGAATAATATCGATATGATTCCCCAATGCGATGCGGGATTATCCAATATTGTTCATATCAATATAAAATTGACAAGCAGCACCTGAATGTGTTCGAAAGAATTAAAAACGCCAACATGAAATGAATTTATACCGCAAAATTCCTGTGTTTATATTATATTTTGCTCAAAAAATGTTTAATAAAGTCTTAATAAAGGCTTTAACTTTCAAGTAACCATTTATGGAAAAATACCGGATATATATTGCATACTGTCATTGCTGCTAAAAATACCAGTATATGATTTTTTTGCCCATATCGCCCAGCCCTACTGGTGGAGCAGGGTTGGTCAGTCAATCGTTCAGTCAGTTGACAGTGGGCTCTGATGGATTTACGTAGGTGCGAATAGCACTTGTGAGAAAAATGAGATCTCAAAAAGTGTACACAGTGACCTTTGGTGGATTAACAAAAACATAAAAACTACAAAAAAGTACCTCCTGGGACGTATTTGTCGCTCTCCAGAAATGTATATAGGGGTACATAATCAGAATGGGTTGCAAAATTGTGTACATTATTATAATTATTTCTTTTTTTAACTTTGCAATTCTTTATCAAACTGACATAACTTGATCTTTTGGGCAAATGCCGGACTTTTCTCTGGTGCTGTAAGATGGACCAACCATTTAGTCCACTTTAACTGTGCATTCAAATCAGCCTCCATTTAATCAGCAACTAATATACAGAACCAAGTCACTTGCCTACATTTATTCTTTTTTGATACGCTCTTTCAGTAAGATGTACTTCATAATACATATGCAAAGAATTTTTTGTGGCTAGACTTTATCTATTGTGTGTGCATTTTAACGTTTATTGCCCCACCCTGTATATTTTCATTGTAAATGCCCATTATATTATACATTTCTGTGCTAATCAACATTTTTGCCATGGATCCTTTCTTACAGCCTTTAAATGTCACGATAATACCTTTAGTTGTCGAACTGAATCTTTGAGAACGTGGGTCTGTCGAAGTGGTTTGATTGTAGACTGCCAAAACACTGAGGAATTCAGGTTTGTCACATGTTGCTGGTTGCTCTAAAATGTTGCACTGGTCACATCCTTTAGAGCTAAAAAGCACTTTAAATTACGAATAAGTTTCTATACAGATGAAGATATGCAGCTTTTGGGATGCTAACAGTAGAGGTGAACAGGTATTTAAGCTCTACCGCTGCAGGATATGATCTGCTAAAGCTGATTTGATGAGAAATCCGACCAGCGTAGAAGCAGAGAACGCAACAAGATGTGCTTTGATTACTTTGACTGGTGTTCTCTGTCTTGTTTTCATTTTTTGCGTGTTCTTCAGCAGCTAAAAGCAGGGCTTGGGTATTTTTGCTTAACGGAAAGGTGAAAAGGTAATCTTGTATAGCTGAAAAAAGGCTGTGATTCCTTGTCGTGTGGTTATATCCCGCATTTAGGGGCTGCATTGTGCACCCTGAGAGCCGATCAGATGACTGCAGAGGATCCAGGAGAAGACGGAGAGGACGGTGAAGATGGCAGATTCCAGAAAAGCCATTTGCGTTTACACTGACGCTTTTGGTACAGGTAATCTTCTTTCTCGCGCTCCTTGCGAGCCCGCTGATAGTGGTCCTCTTCCTTCAGATACCACACCGGAGGCCAGCGATGTTTCTCGAAATGCTCCTGGTTGTCTGCAAAACAGAATGAAGCCACAAGAATTGGTGACAGATATGCGCTTTTAATGCAGAATTCATTTAAATACCGATATTATCATTCAATTAGAACCAGACACCCCCCCAAAAAAAGCTAAAAGTATGTTTGGTATTTGTTCAAACTACTTACAGTGCATCCGGAAAGTATTGATAGCGCTTCACTTTTTACACATGTTTTTATGTTACAGCCTTATTCCAAAATGGATTAAATTAATTTATTTTATAACATTCTACACACAATACCCAATAATGACAATGTGAAAAAAAAGATTTTTAAAATTGTTGCAAATTTTATATATATATATATAAATAAATAAAAAACATTCCTCTTTGCAGTACCCCTCAAGCTCTGTCAGGTTGGATGGGAAGCGAGGGTGTACAGCCATTTTCAGATTTCTCCAGAGATGTTCAATAGGATTCAGGTCTGGGCTCTGGCTGGGCCACTTATACATTCACCAAGTTGTTGTGAAGCCACTCCATTGATATTTTGTCGGTGTGCTTTGGGTCATTGTCCTGCTGGAAGATGAACCGTCGCCCCAGTCTGAGGTCAAGAGCACTCTGAAGCAGGTTTTCATTCAGGATGTCTCTGTACATTGCTGCCTTCATCTTTCCCTCTATCCCGACGAGTCTTCCAGTTGCTGCTGCTGAAAAACATCCCCACACGATGCTGCCACCACCATGCTTCACTGTAGGGATGGTATTAGCCTGGTGATGAGTTGGACTTGGTTTTTTCCAAACCTAACGCCTGTCATTCACTCCAAAGAGTTCAATTTTAGTCTCATCAGACCAGAGAATTTAGTTTGTTATGGTCTGAGAGTCCTTCAGATGCCTTTTGGCAAATTCCAGGCGAGAAGTGTCTTCCGTCTGGCCACTTTACCATACAGGCCTGATTGGTGGATTGCTGCACAGATGGTTGTCCTACTGTAAGGTTCTCCTCTCTCCACAGAAGAACGCTGGAGCTCAGACAGAGTGACCATCGAGTTACTGATCACCTCCCTGACTAAAGCCCTTCTCCCCTGATCACTCAGCATAGATGGCCGACCAGCTCTAGGAAGAGTCCTAGTGGTTCCAAACATCTTCCACTTACGGATGATGGAGGGCGCTGTGCTCACTGGAGTTTTCAGAGCAGCAGAAATTTATCTGTAACCTTCCCCAGCTTTGTGCCTTGAGACAATCCTGTCTCGGAGGTATACAGACAATTCCTTTGTCTTCATGCTTGGTTTGTGCATTGACATGCACTGTCAACCCTGGGAGCTTATATAGACAGATGTACGCCTTTTCAAATCATGTCCAATCAACTGAGTTTACCACATGCGAACTCCAATGAAGCTGCTGAAACATCTCAAGAATGATCAGTGTAAACAGAATGTACCTCAACCCAATAAAGAGCTTCACGGCAAAGGCTGAGAATACTGATGTACATGTGATTTTGCAGTTTTTTAATTTTTATTAAATTTGCAACAATTAAAAAAAAACTTTTTTTTCACATTGTCATTATGGCATATTCTGTGTAGAATTTTGAGAATTAAAATTCATTTTTAACTCAGAATTAATTTAATTCTTTTTTAAATAAGGCTCTTACGTTCAAAAATGTGTAAAAAGTGAAGCGCCAAGATAAACTTCAAGTGTAAACACTCCCTATGGTTGCCATGTCTCCATAATAACTATAAGGCAGTTGATCTGTTGAATTACCTGTAGATTTGGCTTTCATGTCACGAGGGAATTTACGGCAGACTCTATTGTAGTTGGTGCAGACGTGGTGAAGACACCAGTCGGTCAGCTGATGAGCACAGTGGAACTAATGGAAACAATCACACAGATGAAAAAACATTGTCAAACAACTACTCCTTGTACAATCTCCCTGCAACACTTGATGCTAATTGATATAGTATCAATATTTATTTACTTTTTTGTTGAACAGAAATTAAATCAATCCTTATTTTTTAAATATAAGATGGTTATTATAAGAAATGTTACTTATAAGGAACATATCTTATATTTTCTTTGATGTGTTTTTAGCTATAAATGTACCTCACATCAACTACTACCAGATAATGTGACTGGGTAGTATCAGGCTTTCTAAATAGCTATCTCTTGGGGTGTTAAAGCGATTAGGTTTCACTTGGCAATGTTTTCATTCTCTCAGTCAGGGGAACAGTACAGTACGCTTACCTGGGCCATGTCTAGATAGAGCAGAACATCTCCATCTATATCAGCTCCCATCATAGCAGCTTCAGTCAGAACCGTCACAGTGTACAGCTCTACGACAGACACCCATATAATGGTGTGAATTAATTTACATTCCAAACTACATTACAATCACTTAAACTTTCTCAGTTGAAGTCGGAAAATAAACAAATAGGTTTTGTTGGGTTGAGTTTAAGTGGAATGATGAACATGGAGTCAGAACTGATAGAAATAGGCTAATAATTTGGCGATGAAGCAAAGAAATAATAAACGTTGATTTCTTAAGTGGTCAAACAGAAAAACATTTGGTTAATACTGCTTCAGATCATACGTTAGCATACTTTTCCTTCAGCAATGTCCAAACATTGAATATAAGTTATACTTATTTTTCAATAAATAAAAACAGGACCGCTGAATTATTAGCACTCTTGTTTATTTTTTCCCCAATTTCTGTTTAATGGAGGGAAGATTGTTCCAGCACATTTCTAAACATAATAGTTTTAAAACTCATTTCTAATAATTTATTTATTTTATCTTTGGCATAATGACAGCACATAATATTTTACTTCATATTTTTCAAGACTCTTCTATACAGCTTAAAGTGACATTTAAAGGCTTAACTAGGTTAATTAGGTTAACTAGGCAGGTTAGGGTAATTAGGCAAGTTATTGAATAGCGATGTTTTTTTCTGTAGATTATCGGAAAAAAAATTAGCTTAAAGGGGCTAATAATTTTGTCCCAAAAATGGTTTTAAAAAAAATTAAAAACTGCTTTTATTCTAGCCAAAATAAAACAAATAAGACTTTCTCCAGAAGACAAAATATTATCAGACATACTGTGAAAATTTCCTTGCTCTGTTAAACATCATTTGGGAAATATTTAAAAAAGAAAAAAAAATCAAAAGGGGGTTAATAATTCTGACTTCAACTGTAGCTAAATAAAAAAAACAACAACTGCAAATTAACTAATGAAAAATGAAGGCCTAAACATCGCCAGCAAATTCTTTTTATTTTATTTTAGTCATTCTTGTTGCCTACAATAAACCAGGTAAACAAATTTTAAATGTAAGTTGAGGTGATCGCAAGTTCACAACTGTGAGGTGATGTGCTGTGAGGTAATGTGCCTCTACCGGCAGGATAATCTATATTATTTTGCTGTTTTTCATATGCGCACGTTTAATATTTGAGGTAATAACATTGCCATGATGGTCAAAGAAATCAAAACATTATTTTCACCCCAACGCAATTTAATCGGGCACTGAAGGCTAATAACTTAATTCTTATATTTGCTTTTTGAAGCCTATGACTTCTCACCATGTATCTTTTCTACAGCATACAGTATAGTGTAAGAGCATGTCTATTACCAGAAAAACTAAATTAAAATTATATTTTAATTGAACACATCACATCACAATACAGTAAGCTACGCCTACAGAACAGTCTGTTTGGCATTGTAAAAAGCTGAATATCTGTGGTTAAAGTGCCACCCAGCGGTCAAATGCTGCTGGCGCATCAATTACCACCGTCGCCGAGGCATGAAGGGCGGCAAAAGGAACACATTGAAGTAGTAACAGTATTGAGTATTGGTTTTCAGTTTTCAAACAATTATTATGGTTTTATATCTAATGTGTTTACACAAGGCGGTTCATTCCGCCGTGGCGACCCCGGATTAATAAGCCAAGAAAATGAACAAATGAATGTTGACACAAAAGCTCATATCATCTGTGCAAACACTAAACTTTGCTGTGGTCGACACTGGATGTGTTTTGTTTAGTCTGCTAAACTAGAATTACTAAAACTTTATGTATATATAGAGATAACGGGACGTTGGATATTGGAGGGGTGTCGCGGATGTAACTTAAGAGCCGGGGCAGGGTTTGGTTGTCACGAACGAAAGTGAAGAGGGTTGGGGAGTCGCGGAACAGATCGGTAAAATGTAGTATATATACACATATATCCGGCATAATTGTTTTTTCAGTGTAACAAATCCATTGATGAAATAAACCTGAAATGTCCAGCAAATTTAAAAGTATAAATAAAAAAATAAATAAAAACTCTAAACTCTGATAACATTGGTTAAGTGGTGTAAATTTAATCAGGATCTAAAACTGCACGGTGAAAAAATCTTGCTGCTTTAATTTGTTAGATGAATCAAATGAGCTTTTCTAGTCATCTACATTAATCAAACTTACTAAAAATATTACGTTAAACTCTGTATAGCTAAATAATTTAGTTGAAACCTGGTTAACTTAAAATAAACTTGATTAAAATAAGTTAAATAACATTAAACAATATTTGTGGTATACATTTTACAGAGTATAGATGTATAAATGATCAAATAAAACAAATTACAGTGTAACAAAACCATTACTGAAACTGAAACCAAAATATCCGACAAATTTTAAAGAATCAAAGTAAAAACAATGCTAAACTATAATAACCTTGGTTGAAAGGGTGTACATTTATTCAGGATCTGAGCGCATTTTGGTGATCAGACTCAGACTGTGAATTATCCCCTCAGCAAAATATGGTGTGTGTGCAGGTTTATTTGCGTACCTGTCAGCGCGACCAGGTGAGGCAGACAGAGACGGTTTGCGAGTACAATGAGTTCCATGGCATCCAGATCCGGCCGAGAGCAGAAGCGTCCCGTATAGAGATACTCCAGCACAGCACGCATGCAGCTCCGCGTAGTGTTGGGAAACAGCACCTGACAAAACATGAAGGGGGATCAAATCCCTCACTTCTAAAAGCAACATGCAAGACTGATTTCAGAGGAATCATCAAGCTGGGGAAAGACTGAACCCAATGTGTGTTAAAAAGTGAGCGGTAGGTGGAGGAGGCAGTGTTAATAAAAGATCAGTAGAAGTCAAAATGATCAGCCCTCCTGTGATTCTTTCCTGTGATTATTTCCCAAATGATGTTTAACAAAGCAAGGACATTTTCACAGCATGTCCTATATTATTTTTTTCTTATGGTGGAAAACTTATTTATTTAATTTTACTAGAATAAAATCAGTTTTTATATTTTTAAAAATCATTTTAAGGTCAATATTATAACCCCCTTTAAGCAATATATATATTTTTGATTGTCTACAGAACAAACCATCGTTATACAATGACTTGTCTAATTACCCTAGCTTGCCTAATAAATCAGAATTCAATAGTATGTAATCTGCATATTTTTTTCACACACCAGATTACTATGTGGGTCTGAAGCAGTTCAATTTTATTCAGATACATGGCAGAGTAAATGAAAATTGCTCTTTCAGCAACATTTGATCGTATCACCTGCTTTCATCCACCAGTCCAGCACTTTTCATGCAGGAAAAACAGGTTAAAGCAGATCCTTGAAGCTACCAGCACAGTCCTGTCTGCAGTCCTGACCTAAACCTGAATGAGAATCCCTGGCCACAAAGATAAAGCTAAGAAACCTACTACCTTTTATGTTTATTTATTTTATTTTGTATATATCTATATATATATATATATATATATATATATATATATATATATATATATATATATATATATATATATATATATATATATATATATATATATATATATATATATATATATATATATATATATATATATATATATATTAGGGGTGCAACGGGTCATGGTTGATCCGTGATTCGTACGGATCACAACCCATGGTTCGGAAGACAGGTGACCCGTGGATTAATATTTTTTTTACTTGTAGTTTAATCCTAAATTTGTAACGATTGCAGAAAGGCTTTTTGCATGAGGCTTTTGCGTCATTTTGCGTCATTCAAATCAAACGGATGAAAGCATTTAGGCTTTCCTGTAAAATATAATGATGATGGACGAGGTTATGGTGGGTTATTGGGGACGTGGTGGGTTTCTTAGGTTATTAAAGGGGTTTTCTGTCACTACTTGTTTAGCCTGCATTAATGCATTCAGTGTAAGCTGCACGATTAATCACTTAAAGATCGGGATCTCGACACCCACACAACATACATTATAAATGATGCTGATTTGCATGTGTCTATACATTTTTCGAATCGCTGCATTCAAACCTGTGTTTGAAAAATGCGAAAAATCAAGAAAGAGTCTTTAGTCTTTTGAGTTAGTTAAGAAGTTAAAAACAGTCAAATAACACAGAAGAACTGGGAGAACAGTTTATAGTTTAGATGAAACCACTGATGTTTATGGTAAAGATTAAAATCACCATCGTATGCATTTAACTTGCAACTTGCAGCAACTGCATTATTTACGCAATAGGTGGCGACAACCAGACATAAAATATATGCCACTGAATGGTTCTTCAAAAATGATCATCTAGCAATGAAACATGAAGTTTTATGAGTGAATAATTGAATCATTTATTGAAAATTAGACAAAAAATAATATGGGTTGTACAAATGATAATGTTAGATTTCTAGATTTAGCAACAGTAGTATAATAGTGAATTGTTTACAGTACTGAATATTTTTCGATTTATTTTTATTTTCAGCCGATTATTTCTTCATTTTATTTTTAATAAAATTACAGGTTTTAAGTTCTGTTTGTTAAAATCAAAAGTTTCTCGCAGTGCTGTTTTTGTAATAAATGGAAAGCAAATTACATTTGTCTCCTCGCCTTTTTGGTTGATCTGAAAATTGGTCCGATTCGTGACTTAAAAATCATAATGTGATCCGAACCATGAGATTTGTGATCCGTTACACCACTAATATATATACTTTTTTATTTTTGTAATTTAATACACTATAAAAAAGCAATTGTTTACTTTACCACAAAAAGAGTGAGTAAACTATTATCCTAAAAGGAAAAAGTTGACTGTACTTAAAAAAAAATAGTAAATCTGTTGTAACTTGACATTGTTAAGTTGACTTAATTTATGTAATTAAAAACAAACATTTTAAGGCAACGCATTTACTCTCCCATTTACTTAGTTTTCTTTTTTGTTACTCCAGTTCTCAATAAGTTGATTAACTGTTCAAATATTATTGATTATTATTTATTTATTTATTATTAATGTTGAGAACAGTTGTACGGCTTCATATATTTTATGAAAACCATGACATTTAAAAAGTCTGGGGTAATAATAATAACAATAATAATGATAATAATGTATTATTATTATTAATAATAATTTATTTATTAATGAATAATATACATAATAATTAGTATGATTTCATTATATTATTTTTGTAATAATATATATTGTTGGTATTATTATTATTATTATTATTATCATCATTATTATTTAAATTATTAACAAATTTTATTATTATTATTATTAGTAGTAGTATGGTTAATAATGGTTAATAATGGTTAATAAATATGGTTAATAATAATAATAATAATAACAACAATACATATATTGTGTCATTATTATTAATAATACTATTAATTTATTTATTAATGAATACTATTAATTTATAATAATAATTCACATGCTTTAATATTATGTAACAACAATAATAATAATAACAATAATATTATTATTGTTATCAGTCTTAATAATAATAATAATAATTATTATTAGTAGTAGTATTATTATTATTATTATTATTATTATTATTATTATTTATTACTTATATTGACATTATTTATTATAATTATTATTTATTTATTAGATCATACATTCATTTATTATTATTATTATTATGATTATTATTATTATTATTATTTGAAATGAACACTTTTATTAAACAATAACACAGCAAGCACCAAAATGTTTTTAAAAAAAGCATTCCAGCGTATTAGAATACTTTCTGAAAGATCTTGAAGACTGGAATAATAAAACAACCAATTCAGTTCTGCATTGCAAGTTTCAATTCTATTTTAAATTATAAAGATAAATACATAAAAAAAAAATCAGCCATTGCAAAACCAATTCCAAACTTTTGACCTCCACTTTATACATATATACAGATGGAAACACGGAACAGAGTGATGCAAAGTATGTAAATGATCAGTTAGTTCACATCCTAAATTGAAAATATTGACCAAAACAGGCTTCCTTTCTCTAACATAAAAAACAACTATTTTCTACACACAGTGCAGCATAATGTACTATATCTGATGCCCTCTAAAACTAATCAATGCATATCCAATCAGTTTTAGCCACTGAAGCATGTCCAGAATTTAATTTTACTCTCAGATACGATTCATTATCAGGGATTAAAGCAGAAGAAAACATAGTATTATAGTGCAATCGTTCAAAAATAATCAGAGCCTCTTTTAATGAGCTCGATAAATCCCAGTGCCACAACTGCAAAGAAGCACAAACCAAACCAAGCGTCAGCAATGGTACATGCTGTTTTTCTGCTGCAAAGTTACAATAGTGTCGGGCCAGCGCAGCAAAGAAGCCGAGAAAAGCCTTGAAATCAAAATCTGAAAGCAACACTAGAATGTTCTCTCAGTGTTTAAAAGCCTGATGTTGATCATTTGTGTTTGGGAACGGAGGAGTTTGTATTTTCAGGAAATCTTGCAGCATGTGTATTGTAAATAGCGTTTAATAAAGACAAACTAGCAGTTTGTATTTTGTGTGTGGAAGATTTTTTATTTGTATTCATTTGTCTTGTTCCCCTGTAGTCCGAATTGAAATGATTAACCCACCTCTGAAATGTGAATTCTTTTCAAATATTTCCAATATTTTCCCATATCATCCAATCTGTCTTTTAAACATTTCAAATAAGTGTCGTTTAACAGGATACATAAAATGTGACCCAATTTTTAAACGTAAGTTATAGTAACTACTTTCTTCTGTCTTTGTCACACTCAGTTTTATTTTTTCTGCTTGTTTAAATTAGTTTATTTTTTTGGATTTTTGTTGAAGGTTTTTTTATCGTTTTATTTTTTTATCCACTTAAATTTGTAAAAACAATTAAGTTCAATTATTGGTTTGTGTTGGGACAACGTTAAGGGATTGTGTGGATCCCAGCATTTTTTACAGTGCATGATGGCAGTATATAATATTTTTCTTCTTATTTTGTCAGATATATTCAGCTTGAAGTGCAAATTAAAGACTAGTCAGTCTAATTTACCTATAGTTACGTATTTAAATTGCACTTTGAGCCAATCAAAAATGTGATATTCTTAAGGGTTGCTATTGTAATAATATTGACCCTACAATATTTTTAAAAATTAGAAATAAAATTCAGCCAAACTAAAAGAAAAACAACTTTCTCCAGAAGAAAATAATATTATAGTAAATACTGTGAAAATGTTCTTTCTCTGTTAAACAGCATTTTAGAAATGTTTGAAAAACAGTAAAAAATTCACAGGAAAGCACACACACACACACACACACACACACACACACACACACACACACACACACACACACGTGTACATATACACACTACCCGTCAAAAGTTTGGGGTCAGTTTTTTTTTCATATTTTGTTTTTTAAAGAAAATGATTCTGTTCATCAAGGCGGCATTTATTAAATGTACAAATATTGTTAAATTATTAAATATTTAATATTTAAAAAAAATGAAATACCAATTAATATAAAAAAACACTCCTAATCGACAACAACAACAATAATAATAATAATATGAATAAATAAATAAATAAATAAATACTAGAGCGTAACAATATACTTTTGAACAGTTATTTTATAGAGCAATAATATTTCACAAATGCACATATTTTACTGTACTTTTGGTGAAATAAATATATATATATATATGTGTGTGTGTGTGTGTGTGTATATATGTATGTATATATATATATATATATATATATATATATATATATATATATATATATATATATATATGTACAGTTAAAGTCAGAATTATTAGCCCCCCTGAATTATTAGCCCCTCTATTTATTTTCCCCCCAATTTCTGTTTAACAGAGAGAACATTTTTTCAACTCATTTCTAAACATAATAGTTTTAGTAACTCATTTCTAATAATGGATTTATTTTATCTTTGTCATGATGACAGTAAATAATATTTTACTAGAAAATTTTCAAGACACTCCTATACAGCTTAAAGTGACATGTAAAGGCTTCACTAGGGTAATTAGGGTAACTAGGCAGGTTAGGGTAATTAGGCAAGTTATTGTATAATGATGGTTTGTTCTGTAGACTACAGAAAAAA